CTTCCTGACTGTGAGAGCCGTTCAGCAGTGGAACTCTCTGCCCCGGAGTGTGGTGGAGGCTCCTTCTTTGGAAGCTTTTAAACAGAGGCTGGATGGCCATCTGTCAGGGGTGATTTGAATGCAACATTCCTGCTTCTTGGCAGAATGGGGTTGGACTGGATGGCCCAGGAGGTCTCTTCCAACTCTAGGATTCTATGAATAATCAAGAGTTATCTTCGATAAAGAAGAGCTGAGAAAGAAAATAAGAACAGACGATATAAGAAGGAACAAGAATTTGCGATATCTTATGTGATGTATGTCAATGGAATAGAGAAGAAAAATTAGCTGAAAAAATATTTTTGTATAAGAACCCCCCACGTCCCAACAGCTCCTACTTGATTTGTTCTTTCTTTGTGACATATTAGATATTAGGGTTGGATAGAGTCATTTGGAAGATCCAAAAAGTCGTAAAAAGCTTCCAACCTTTGCCTTCCAAAGCAGTTTTGAACCATGCAAGAAAGTTGGGAGGGGAAAATCTGAAATTGAACCACTTGCCTTTTTTTCGGAAATATTCCATAATGTTCAGATTTTTCCCAAGGTTATTTTATTCCTTCCTTCTCCGGTTTGCCCTTCTTCTTGTCCCTCTTGCTCAGCTTGAGCCTTGTGAGGGAGAAGAAGATGAGGGGGAAACCAGAGAAGGAAGGAATTAACTCCTCCGTTTCCCCCCACTTCTCCCTCGTGAGTGAGAGGGACAAGAAGAAGGGCAAAACCGGAGAAGAAAGTAATAAACTCCTCCAGTTCCCCCCCCCCCTCTTCTTCTCCCTCGCGAGCAAGAAGGATAAGAAGGGCAAAACCGGAGAAAGAAGGAATTAATTTCTCTACTTTTGCCCTTCTTCTTGTCCCTCTCGCTCATGAAGGAGAAGAAAAGGGGGAGGGGGGAACTGGAAGAGTTAATTCCTTCCTTCTCCAGTTTTGCCCTTCTTCTTGTTCCTCTCTCTCGGCTTGAGCCTTGCGAGGGAGAAGAAGAGGGGGGAAAACCAGAGAAGGAAGGAATTAACTCCTCCCCGAAGGAGACTCAGAGAACACATACACAGCAAACATTCAACACTGTCATACACTGACAAGACAAGCAACTGTACATAGATAGAGAGTAATGAGGAGGGAAATCAGTCCTCTGTTGCTTCTGATGTGGGGGATGCTGGGACTGACTCTGAGGTGCAAGATGGAGACACTTTGGTCAATGAGTTTCATGCAGACACTGACAGAGAGGCTTCGGTGCAAAGGGCAGATTCTCATGGGAATGTTCCTGTCAGGCCTTGGGAGGAAGGTTTACTCCTTCCGTCTGGGAGCCCTTCAGATTCTAGTTTGGAAAACAGTCTGACACCTGCTAAAGTTAATGAGGAGTCAGATAAGCAGAGTCGGCAGCTGGAGATTAACCAGGCCCAGTGTTTCCGTAGATCTGAAATAATTCGTCAATTAAAGTCAAAGACTAGGGGAAAATGAAATCAGTTCTTGGGATTTAAGGTTTTCCGGTAGAAAATCTTGTCAGATCAGGCATCGTTTGGAAACCTAGCACAAGCCTCATGGAATTCCAGTTCAAGTGATCTTGTCTTCATGGTTTTTTCTAGCCTTTCAAATTGACTAACAGCGGCAGGTCTGTTCTTGCTTCTTGGTTGATTCCTGTCTGGAATATCAGTGCCTTGGAATATTATTTTATGCTTTTTGAACATTGCTTTTGAATGCTACATTTGGACACCGTGTCTTCTTTTTGCCTTTAAATGACTTATTGCTTTTTGGAAACTTATCAATCTTTACAAGCATTTATTTTTACTGGCTTTTTGCTAAGCTTTAATAAAAAGGATTGTTCCTTCACTCAACATGTTGTGTGTTTATAGTCAGAGGGGTCAATTCCTGTTCTGGAGTGCAATAGTGCCTTAAATACCTCCCCGCTTTAGCAGTACCTATTTATCTACTCACATTGCTGTGTTTGAAACTGTTAGTAAGCAGAAGCTGGGCTAAAGGCTAGGAGCTCACCCTGATCCGGGCTTCGAACTGTCAACCTTTTGGTTGTCAAGATTTACTTCAGCTGTTGACTAACCTGCTGTGCTAAAACCTGCTGTGCTCAGAACAGGGCATTTTTAAAGTGTAACTCCAGACACACACACACACAGTGCTTTGGATAGCTTAAGGAAGAGTTTTATTATTAACACCCCTGTTGTGTTTCCTTTGCTATCTCTGACCCTGTTCAGAAGATTTCCCTTCACTTTCTGTCCCCGTGAGAATTGCATTTTGGGAAATGTGGCTTGTTGTGGAAATAAGGATTGGAGATAAAGCTTCAGTGGAACCCTTTCCCCTCATGATAACAACTCTTTCAGGAGTGGATTTCCCTTCTGAGGGGGAGATTTCATCTCACTTTCTTTTGTCCCAACCCCTTCCTTCACTAGGAGTTGTTTGTAAGCCGGATGCTTGTAACTCGGGGACTTGTACTGATATGGGGACGACTAGCCACCATATCAAAGTTATGATCAGAAATCATGTCCGTCTGTGATTTTTGATGCTTGTAACTCGGGGACTGGATGCTGGTTACTTGGGGACTGCTTGTACTGATATGGGGACGACAACTCACCATATCAAACATGTTCGGAAATCACATCTGTCTGTGATTTCTGATGTTTGTAACTTGGGGACTGGATGCTTGTAACTCAGGGACTGCTTGTACTGATATGGGGACAACTAGCCACCATATCAAAGTTATGTTCGGAAATCACGCCCGTCTGTGATTTCTGATGCTTGTAACTCGGGGACTGGATGCTTGTAACTCGGGGACTGCTTGCACTGATATGGGGACGACTAGCCACCATATGAAAGTTATGTTCAGAAATCACAGACGGACGTGATTTTCATGTCACACAATTATACCTCTTGGAGGCAACTTGAACTGCCATGGAAAATCATGGGATTTGTAGTTGAGTGTGCATTTAAAATTCCAGAGAACTCTAAGGATGGATTTACACTGCCCTATAATCTGATCCCAGATTATATGCTTTGAACTGAATTACATTAGTTTATATTGTCAGATAAAGCAACAGCTGGGTGGCCATCTGTCAGGAGAGCTTCAACTGTGTAGCTGAATGGAGTTGAACTGAATGGCCTTCGGGCTTTCTTCCAACTCTATGATTCTATGATTCCACGATATGCAGATGATACCATGTTTCTAGTAGAAAACGCAAAGGCTTGGGTTGCTCGCTGAGGCCCCATCAACACTGCCATATAAAATCCAGAGTATCTGCTTTACTCTGGATTATATGGTAGTGTAGACTAATATAATCCAGTTCAAAGCATATCATCTGGATTTTTTATGACAATGTAAATGGGTCCTAAATTCCCTTGGTTTTGGTGAGTCTACTTCTTGGAGGCAGAACTAAGAGAGACAAGGCAGGGGCTAAGTTTCCATCCCTAGAGGATCAGAGGTGACTTTTGGGGGCTGTTCTCTGGGCACCTGTTCACATGAAGTCTCCATGCATTATCCATTTTTGGGGTTGCAGGTTCCATCCTGGGGAAGAAGGTGGCTGAGAACCTCACTGCTTTGGTGCTGGATGTGAAGATTGGGAGTGGCGCCTTCTTCCCGACCCTTGAGAGTGCCCAGCAACTGGCAGACAGCTTGGTGAGTTGGATGGGAAAGGGCAGAAGGGCAGGCAGATGCCATTCAGTTCCTTGTGGGTTTGGGGAGGAAATATTGCCAAGATTCTACGTTGCGTCAACAAAATGAAATTGTCCAGATTAAGGGAAGGAGTAGTGCCATTTGATTCTATGCTGGCCAATCTCATCTGAAATACAGTGTCCATTTCTAGTTGCCAGAACTTTGCTACTAAGGAGGCTGTTCAGGTCCTGTAACAGTCTGGATGAGGGCAAACAAATTGAAATTGAATCCAGACAAGACAGAGGTCCTCCTGGTCAGTCGTAAGGCCAAACAGGGCATAGGGTTACAGCCTGTGTTGGATGAGGTTACACTCCCCCTGAAGGCGCAGATTCGCAGCTTGGGTGTGATCTTGGACATCGCTGAGCCTGGAACCCCAGGTTTCAGTGGTGACCAGGGGAGCATTCGCACAGTTAAAACTTGTGCGCCAGCTGCGCCCGTACCTTGGGAAGTCTGACTTGGCCATGGTAGTCCATGCTCTGGTTACATCCCGTATAGACTACTGCAACGCTCTCTACGTGGGGTTGCCTTTGAAGACTGCTCGGAAGCTTCAAATGGTCCAGCGTTCGGCAGCCAGGTTCCTAACAGGAGTGGCACTCAGGGAGCATACGAATCCTCTGTTGCGCCAGCTCCACTGGCTGCCAGTTTGCTACCGGGCACAATTCAAAGTGCTGGCGTTAGCCTATAAAGCCCTAAACGGTTCTGGCCCTACTTACCTCTCTGAACGCATCTCCTCCTATGAACCGACTAGGGCACTAAGATCATCTGGGGATCATCTGGGGAGGCCCTGCTCTCTGTCCCGCCTGCATCACAGGTGTGCTTGGCAAGGACGAGAGACAGGGCCTTCTCAGTGGTGGCCCCTCGGCTGTGGAACGCCCTGCCTGCAGATATCAGATCGGCCCCCTCCCTGCTGGCGTTTCGGAGGAAAGTGAAGACCTGGCTGTTCGAACAAGCATTTGATTAAGCAGTGTAATTGAACATTGGAATACGGAATAATGGATGATGAGACTGGATTCTGATTTTACTGTTGAGGCGCTAATGATTGTTATACTGATGTTAATGATTTATGTGATAATTGTTTTAATTGCCCTATACTTGTCTCGTGATGTTGTTCACCGATTTGAGTCGCCTGAGGGCTGAGAAAAGCGGTATATAAATAAAGTAAGTAAGTAAATAAATAAATAATTTTGCTTTTGGTCACACCTCATCTGGGTCCAATTCCGGGCACCACAATTCATGGAAGCCATTGCTAACCTGGAATGTGTCCAGGTCAAGGCAATCAAAGCAATGAAAGATCAAGGGGAACAGTTGAGAGAGCGAAGTACATTTAGCTAGGAACTCCAACACGATAAGCAGATGCTGGATGGCCATCTCTTGAGAGGGCTTGGATTGTGCCTTCCTGCCTGGTAGAAATGGGGTTGAACTAGATAGCCTTTGTTCTGGACATTTCCTGACTTGCCCTTCAAGCCTTAATACCATGTTGAAAGTAAATGAAAAATGCTCCACTTCAGCAAACACAAGGGAACAGCACATGCAGTTGAAAAATGCAAACAAAAGCAAGGAAGTCTTAATGCAGATACAAAACTCAAGTCTCTGATAAAGTCCAAAAGATACAGCAGTCTTACACCAGACAACAGGCAATAATCACTAAATCCTTAGAAGCAGACTTGAAACAGCTACAATTGGAGCAAAGACATAAGCATCAGAGTCGTTTGTTACCAGCAAAAGCTAACTGCTTCTGCTTCTGATTTATAGCCCTGAATTCCCCACGCAGGAGGTGCTAAGGCGGCTTCCAATTAGCTCGGCGTTTCTAGCAGCTATTCTAGCTGAACACCATTTCTGCTCTGTTTCCTTTTGCCTTTCCAGAAATGTAGGCACTTGCAAAACTTCATCTTCTGATTCTAACCGCCCTTCCGATTCCTGAACACTTTCCTGCTCCCCTTCGTCTTCTGAAGATGAGGAATCCCTAACAGGACGCCTCAATTCAAGAAGACATTGAGAATCTGGAAAGACATAGCAGAAGGGGGTTGGACAGGGCAATCCTTGGGGTTTCTTCCAACTCTAGGATTCTAGGATTCTACCTTCTTCTTAAAGTATAAGCATACCTCTTTTCTTTTCAAGGCACAGCTAAGAGTGGACTCACTCTCATGAGCGTGGAAGCCATCAGGCAATCCAACTCCATGATTACATATGTGTTTCCTACTACAAGCTCCAAGAGCAAGACTCCAATGCTTCAACCTCCCTGCTTTTTTAGAATGAGGGGGTCAACTGGCTGTCCTTCGCTACCCCAAGTCTAAATATTCTGCCTAAAGCTCTCTCTGTGTGTCTCGCAGGTGTCGGTCGGGACCCAGCTGGGAATAAACACTGTTGCGGTCTTCAGCAAGATGGACAGCCCTCTTGGGCGTCGGGTGGGCAATTCCTTGGAGGTGCTTGAGGCCCTGGAGTGCCTGGATGGAGGGGGGCCCAAGGACGTCCGGGAGCTGGTGACCACGTTAGGTATGTCTGCACTCCTTGATGCTTGATGGGCATGGTTGTATACATTGGGCTAGAAGGACCTGGAGCTCCTAACCCAACTCCTGGAAGACTGTGGGTTAGAGATCTAGGGGTGAGAACTTGTGATGGCCCCAGGAGAGGCCATGGAGAGGCAGCATTATGTCTTATCATTGCTTAATGGGCATTTTTAACCATGGATGTCCCCTGACTCAGTTCCTCGGTCTAACCACTACACAACACTGTCTCYTCCCTGCTCTTTGGAGGCTTGGCTGGAGAGATACATCCAAGAACTGCCCTCCCACTTGCTCTCCGTCCATTTCTTTGCAGGAGGAACCTTGTTATRGCAATGTGRGAGAGCTCCCTCTGTGTCTCAGGGCTCTGCTCGCATCGCCAAAGCCTTKGATGATGGCTCAGCCCTGGGTGCCTTCCAAGCCATGCTGGAGGCCCAAGGCGTGGGCTCCAACACAGCTAAGGCCCTCTGCAATGGAACGGAAGAGCAGAGACTCCAGGTGCTGGGAAGGGCTCGGTTCCAGGTCGCGCTGGTGGCTCCATGCGATGGTAAGAAGGACAGAGAAGGGCCATGTCAGACCCTCTGACAACAATGTGACCTGTTTCTCTCATTGGTGAGAATGTGGACCCAAAATGTCTTGCTGTTGATAGACATATAGAGTTGGAAGCGATGCCCAAAGGCCATCCAGTTCTAGCTCCTACTGCCATGCAGGAACATGCAATCCAAATCCTTCCAACAGATGACTTACAAGCCTCCAAAGACGGAGACTCCACTGGACTCAAATGCTGCAGTATTTTCTACAGTCAAAAAGCTCTTACTGTCCCAAAGTTCTTCCTAATGTTAGATGGAATCCCTTTTCCTGGCATCTAGATGCATGGCTCCGTTGTCTACTATAGCAAACTTTTGTATCGTTACCCCAATACCCCCATGCATATGGGATATATTGAGCATGATGATCAGATCATGATATGAATATGTTAGTATTAGCGGAAGTTTTGCACAGGCTTAGTAGAAAAACATGGATTCTGGAGACGTCTGGTTACAAAGCAGGTTCAATTTACTTAGAGCAGTTCCAAAACACACCCATTACAGTAAGCAACCAGACACGAAGTACACCATATGCAGGACAAAGGAAGTAGAAGTGTAAAACAATTCTGCAACTGCTTGGCAGATACCAGATACTCCCTAATTTTCTCACAGCTCTGCACAAAGAGTATCTCAGGGCTACTTTCTCACAGCCTCTAACATAAACATACATCACAGCAATACAATCTTATGGCATCCATATTTCTACGGCATGAAATTACATTTAAAACACATTACATACTTCAACATATACTGACAGAATAAACATAACAGTTTAAATAATGTACCAGTAAGGCCTTCTCATGGACCACCATGAGAATTTCGGGG